GTAGATTGAATATAATAAAAATAAAATAAAATGCAACTTGACAATAAAATAAAGCATTCTTGAGATTGTTTAATAAAACAAAACACATAGAAATATAACACAATACAATAAAAAAATTCAAGTCGCACAATAAATACTTATAATGTGTTTTTCTCTTCTTTTTGTTTGAGTATACGGGACAAGAAAATAAATTGGAGATACACTGATTTGTCGTATAATTCGTAAAAAATACTTTTGTTTGTTTTTAACAAATTGTGTGCTTATTGCATTGCAGTTAAGATAAAAGTCTTCAAATTCCAATCCATGCTCGGAAGTCATATGGCCACACTAATGCCACCGGACAATTTTAGTCAATTATGTGTCGTGTATGCTCCTGGGGAGTAGAGAAAACAATTGCCCTTATAAGACCACAACGTACCGATTCACTGGGATCGCCAACATTAAACGAGAATTTGACACGATTGCATTCGACATCGAGTACCGAATTGTACATCGGATACCAACCAATTTTGTTAAATACCACAAATACTTCGTAAATTTGATTACGATATATGTAGACGGGACGATCAAAAGAGATGTCCAAAAGCGAATCATAGCGAACACGAGATGTACAATGTGTATAGCTAAGACGAGATCCTTGTATATCCTGGATGTGGGCATAGAGAATTTCACTATACCGTTCCGAGAAACCAGCTGAATTCATAAGTTCACCACAGAGAACTTGAGTGGGCACCTGGACGCCAGTTATCCAAATATTTGTATCGACTTGAAAAGTTAATCCGCAATCACTAACACTGGTATTACGATAATGAAACTGGGGACTTCCAGTGCAAACACAATACGAACGCCTTGTATCATTGGTGGCCACTTCATTATCACTTACTGGTACAATGGGTATCCCAGCACTGACTCTTGGCATTAATGGATTTGGATTTGAAACCGGAAGATTATTACAGGGATTGGCACGAGTCGAAGCCAACACTTGAGCGGGGATGTGATCCATGGAGGAATCCATGGGTGCAAAACTACAAATATGACCACTGCCAGGTGGTGGTAAGGAGTGGCGATATGAAGACAAATCACGATTGGTACGCTGTTCATAGTAATTGCGACTGCAACGCGACCTACAAAAGCCCTCTGGCATAGGACAATCATTGATAGATGGGCTAGAGATCTCAATGAGTATGGCCAATGCTTCATGTTGCTGCAAAAGTTTGGAGCGAGCTGGGCCATCAGCAAACTGCTGTGGAGTCGTGGTGAGGAAACGTATTTTCTTTACAGCCTGTCTTAACATGGCCTCATCCACCATAAGACGTTGGTCATCCATGAAATAATTGAGATTGTCAACAGCAGCGGCTGCAGCAGCATTGGCAGCCGAAGCAGATGTTGAGGGTGGTTCATTAGGTGGTGGAGCAACCGGATGGGGAATATCATTTTCCACAACCACTACATTCGGCGATGGTGACTCGTGATGATGATTGTAATTACCCTCATTATTTTCCTCGTTAAACTCCTCCTCGTGGCCCTGCATCATGGCATTAACATCCATTTTAATCTCCTCTACCGGTATTAAACACATGCCACCGTTTATCGAATTATTTGGATTATTTGATCGAATTATTTGGATTATTTGATCCAAAATTGCCATCAATGTGGACACTTCAATATCCAAGAAACTGGGATCTTCCAAGACTTCTCGTGTATTACCAGCAATTAACTCCATACTGCTCTGGATTAGACGAGGCTCATCGAAAAGTTTAGCAAACTCATATGCCCTACAGGCATTTTTCGGACTCAAATCAGCCCACAAATATTGCGTGCATTGCTCCACCACATATGGGAACACGTACTTCTTGGCCACATAGCATAGCTCGCATGCCTTGTCAAAAGAGGATATATTAATACTCCAGCATTGCCTCAAATGCATCCGGCTGTACATCGGGTATAACAATTGGATCATCTTTATCCGCCAAATGTCCATAGAACATTGTCTCAAACACTGGGGAGGCCATTGCCAGGATAAGCTTGTGGCCACCTATGATTTTTTGATTCGGCGATGTTCCCACCAAAAAACGACAATCGGCCCATTTGCCAGTGGCCAACAAATGCATACCCCGCTTCTTTATCTCGATAAAGTCATGCTGCCAATCCTGACCCATTGTGATTTATCTTCTTCGTTTTATTTGTTTATATATTGTCGTTGAATCTATTTATTTTTTACGTCGTCCTCCTATTATTTTGCATATATCCCGCAAGTATTGGTATATAACATCATGATAAGTTTCTTATATGATGGTACAATGTCGCAAAATTGGAACTATATGTGACACAATAAGATTGAACTTAAAAAAAAACTATAAAATATGAGTTTCTTTAAGGCTGGCCAATAAAACAGTAAAGTAAAGAATATGTTAACGTCCATGTGGAACTAGAGATGTAGAGCTAGATGGTACCGAAACTTTTTTCGTAATACATACTACAAAATTACGATGGATCTATATTGGAAATGTTTAGCAATATATTTTTATACCCTACATAAGTTTGTTGTGAAGTATTATAGCTTTGTGTTACAAGAGTTTGTAACGCCGCGAAATATTTTACATTTTAGTAAACCGATCGTCAAAATTTCATAGTATATTAAATAAGAGTGGTTGACCTTTATGGAGTTATACTTAGATAATTATTGGTGTCCACGTATTTTGATTTGGTTAGTATTAGAAGGCGAAAATTTCTCGCTTATCGCTATGAAATAATGCATGAGGTTCCGGCATGAGGTTCCGGACACCTAACAATTTCGGTGATTATCAGATGATATTTAGGAGATTATCTGTATGATTTCCTAGGAAAAAGATCTGGCCAACTATTCATTTAAAATACCCAATTCATACAAAACATGTTTCGGAAAATATACCAGGGTCAGAAAGAGTAGCTATTGACTTTCAATCGAGTAAGCGGGTGCAAATACCGCGAAGTATCGCCCAGACACTGAATATATATCTTCAGAAAATTAGAGTTTGGAGGTAGTTATGGCCGACCCGTCCAACTATACTATATAGTTTTAACAAGTGTACTTTCACCAAAAAATACCGAAAATTAAGTGGTACCGTTATATGGAAACTATTCCGAAATGGACCGTTAGGGGACGGATTTGACTATTTTGATAATATTTTATCCCATTTTTATCACAAAGTACATAAGTAGTTCTACTTTGGAATACAAAAATGTAACAAAAAGAATATGTTTAGAGTTTGTAACACCACCTAAGATTGGTCATATACCCACATTTTAGTATCATCCTGTCCCCATTTTGATTTAAATCGGATCCGACTTACAACCTCATATAATTTCGCCCGGTGTAATCTAACCAGTGAGCGAAGCATTATAGTCGAACGATGGCGACCATATGATACCCTACTCAACTACCATTGAGCTATAATCTGTATTCCGAGCCTAGACATTATTTCCCGATAGTTGGCCGGTTATGTGTAAACAGCTCCTCTTTTTTATCTTGGCATCTTTTCCGAACCTTGTTTTCCCGGTGTGAACATTCACGCCATAACGTGCGTTTTGCATATAAAGGTCTTGCTTGATATAACTCGCTGAATATTGACCAAACATTAGCGGAAAAGTCCTTCTAATTAGTTGATCGGATAGCCTTCCTCGTGTATTTTGTTGTTATGATCGTTTATAATTGTGGTCTATAGAGCGACCCACTAAATTATGTTTCCGATATCATCCGATCTTTATGGAAAATTATAAGCGTAGTCCCTGACCATATCCGGATTCGTAGCCAACAGCATGATATTTCCTACCTCTAGTGTTGTAATACTTAATAAGAATGGTATAGGTTGACCCTTGTAAATATGTACGTATTACTCCCACAACATAATTGGTAGCAATTTAAAGGTCAACCACTCTTATATATTATCAAGTTTCATGGGTCTATGTCCTTCAGGAGTAAATATATACGCCATAGAATTCAAATGTTGTCATCATCAAAACAGTTTATTCTATGTTCGGGTCACAATTGGGGCCTCTAGAGCGACCAGAAAAACAGACAAAAATCAAGTTTTTAACCCATTTCATTCTCTAAATATTAAGCGATCATTACCAACAACAATATACATAACCCGTCCTATATAGTGTTTACAAATTATAATGAACATACGGACAGACACAGTTCGACGTAGCTAGTCGATGATATATGACGATCGGTAAATTGTGTAAACAAAAATTGTAAATAAAAAAAAAATCCAAACAAAAAATTGTTTCTGAAAACAGTCAAATGTTTTTATTTCAAATTATAAACTTATTTTAAAGTAAAATGTTAAAGATATAAATTTAAAAATTTCTTTTTTTTTTTGGTTTTAAGTAAATCATAATGTAATTAATTATAAGCTAAACAAAATAATTATTTATTAAATATATAGATTTGTATTGAAATTATGCATTACTATTTGTGATTGTATGTAATAAATGTATGTTACGTACACATGTGTATAAAAAACAAATCTCTTTTGAAAAACTTTTACCGTTTATCAGTTCAATGTTTTTTGTTATTTTTGTGAATTAAATATTTGTCTCCCTTTCTTAAGTTCTAATAACATTTAGCCCAAAAAACTCTTAAGTGTCTGACGAAATGTCGGTCTGTCAGTTGTCATATGTCCTTATTCTTTGTTTTTGTTTTTCACTAAGATGATATGCTTAATATTAAATATGTTTATGTGTGTTTGTATGTAAATGAATATGTTTAATAATTAAATTGTTTTCTTTCTTTGTTCTAAATAAGTTTTTGGTATTCGTTTTTTGTTTTTTTTTTCTAAAAAATGCATGATAAAACAATCTTAATGAAAGTCATTTATATATTGTCAAAGTGTTGTTGTTTTTTGTTTTTCCTTTTTTTGTCTTCCTAATGTCTCAAATATAGTTACTTGAAATGAAATTTACGAAGTTGTTTTTGTATTATTCTATATCCAAAATGATTCTTCTTCTCGTTATAATTATCTTAATATCTATTTTGATATCGATTGCGACTGTAGTATTGATTGTTGATGAGCAATTGATTTTCATTGAATTCATCATCATCGTCGGTCTCCTTAGATATATCCTCCTTGTAGATGGATCTCAAAGCTCCGGGGAATGCAGTGGCAATTTCAACACTATACGAATTACCTTCTTCCTCATCTTCTTCACTGTTGTCGAAGGGATTTACAGCCACATAGGAGGCTGAGAAACCTTTGTAATCAACACTGCTGTCGGTCTTGAAACGTACCAACAGAGAGTCGGTTAGAGAGATAATGTCTTGAGGTATCTAAAAAATGAAAAAAAAATCAAATTAGATTAAATTAGGGGGTGAAAATTTGTTCGAATAAAATATTCAATATAGGTCCACATTTTTACAAAGAAAATTGGGAACTTAATATAATAAGGAAACAAGATAGACCTATGGTTCCTTTTGAGAATAAGCATAGAATAATTTTCTGAGCTGATTAAAGCATGCTCGTCCGTCTGTCCATGTATTCTTGTGAACAAAGTACAGGTCGCATTTATGCTTCGATTTGGATGAAATTTGACACCAGTCACTTATTTGACCCAGGGAATAACCCTATTGCAATTGGTGAAAATCGGTTCAGATTTATAAATATAAATTTTGCATAGCACACTGAATTGATGATCTGTAATGATGAGTGCCAAGTTTCGTAAAAATCAGTTCAGATTTAGATATAGCTCCCATATATATTTTCGTCCCATTTCATGTAAATTGTGTACCAAAACCCTATATATATCTTTCGATTTGCAAGAAATTTGGCACAGCGTACTGAAATGAGTCCAGAATTATGAGTGCTAAGTTTCGTCCAAATCGGTTCGGATTTGGGTTTTGCTCCCATATATACTTTCTTCCGATTTTATGTAAATGCTGTTGAAAAGCCTCTATATTTCTTTCGATTTACACGAAATTTGGCATAGCGTACTGAATTTAGTCTCGAATGATGTTTGCTAAGTTTTATGAAAATCGATTAAAATTCAGATATAGCTCCCATATTTATTTTCGCCCGATTTCATGTAAATGGTGCTCAAAAGACCCTATATTTCATTCGATTTGCACGAAATTGCGCACAGCGTATTGAATTAGGTCGACAATGACGTGTGTCTATGTTTCGTAAAAATCGATTCAGATTTAGATATAGCTTTCATATATATTATCCTCCGATTGGGGTAATATATCTTCTCTAAGTCTGTGGTGTCATGTTATAGCATGGAAACCCCAGGTGACATTCAGAGTTCTCATAGAATAAAATTATCGATATATTTTTAAAGAGCAAAAATTTGTGGTAAACAACATTCATAATAGCCTGTCAACATAGTTCGGTAGGGTGTGGAATATACGTACATTTCTGTATAACTTAAAAATAAAAAATAAAATCCGTAACTCACCGTATTGCCACAATATTGTCCATACATTGGTCCACTGGTATCCTCCATACCCGAAAACACCTGAACGTAGTCGTATGTACAATTTTCACTGCTCTCCAAATCGAATGTTAAAAATATCAAATTCACATAGCTATTGGGTGGTGCCTGTATGGTCCACTCACAATCCATATTCATGTCATAATTCAAATTGCCAAAACGCGAATGCGAATAGAATTGTTGAATTTGATTTGTGGCACGCAAATAACCACCACAAGCTGCAAAACATAAAAACATACATCACATTAAATATCATCACTCCGCTCCTTGCCACACGTTCGTTCTACTTACATGTTGAATGGACAGCCGTGAAACCGCTATGCTGTTTATTCTTATCCGTTTTAAGTACCATATATAGCTGATTGGTGGATGAGGATATCGGGTAGGGTATTTTCTCACCACAGAAACGACCCAACAGGGAACTACTCTCCGAATCGCCATCATAAATTGCCACATTATCATAGGCACATTCCTGCAATTCGAAGTTAATATTCATTCATTATCACATTTGATTTCATTCATCATCTCCTCCCCTTACCTGATGCGACTCCACTTTGAATTCATTGAATATCAATTTTATGCGATGTCCTGGTGTCGTTGAAAAATGCCACACACAATCGGCATTCGGTGGATATAAATCCGGATAGTTCGGACTATAAATAGTGCCAAATGGTGCTGAAATTTCATGTTTACATTCACCTTCCTTGCAGTCATGACCATTCTCATGCAGCGAATAACCATTGTGGCACGAACACACATACGAACCGATTGTGTTGCGACACTCATGCTGACATCCGCCATTGTTAATCGAACACTCATCGATGTCCGTGAAGAACACAGCCGCGAATCCCGACTTTTGTATTGATTTGTCCGAATGGAATTCCACACGCAATGCATTGCCCTCCGAGGTGGCCGTGGGCGGTATTGAACTGCCACAATAGGTGCCAATCTTCTTCAAACGATTCTCACTGAGTTTAGAATAAATTGTCACCTTGTCATAGCCACATTCCGACTGATGATGGGTGGCTCCCTCCAAATCGAAATGGGTGAAATTCAGCGAGATTTTATGTTTGGGCGGTGCAATAATCTCCCAAATGCAATCCTTCAGCAGTGGGTAGGGGTCGGGGAATGAGGGTGAGGTAATGGTGCCGTTGGGATATTCAATGACACCGCCACAGGCATCCTCACAATGTTTCTTGTCGCTGTGCAGTTCATAGCCAATATGACAGGCACACTCGTAGCCACCCAGAGTGTTGATGCATTCATGTTCGCAGCCGTGATTTTGTGTTTCACACTCGTCAACTTCTTTCATGAATGTGGCTGAGAAACCGGGCTTTTGCACCGAGGTGTCCGAAACGAATTTCACAAACATTGTATCGCCAGTGGATCTGGAAAATAGAAGTGATTAATAATTTATGGATATTGAAATCCATGTGAAACTTACTTCATATTTGGTGGTGGCTTATAACCACAAAATACCCCAATCAGTGGGGATTCCTGTGAGGGTCCATCTCGAACTTCGACAAAATCATAAACACAACTATCATGATTTTCCACTTCGAATGATTGGAATTTCAGTGCCACCTGATAACCTTTGGGTACGGTAATTTTCCAAATGCATTCTTTATTGGGTAGATATTCCAACGGGTAGTTGGGTGACTCCAAGCGTCCTTCATTGTCATCGATATTCAATTCTCCGCCACAGACAACTGTAGGAAAAGAGAAATAAAATAAATTAGAAACTTCGACATATAAATTTTTTTTTTAATTTATGCCCATTAATAGCCCTATAAAATTGAACTTCTTTTGAAAGTCCCATAAAAATAGTTCTTAGAAAACCCCTTGCTCATTAAAAGTCCTTTAACATTATTTTATAAGAAATCCATGCCTTTTGATAGTCCTTTAAAAATATTCTTTAATAAATCCGCGCCTTTTGATAGTCCTTTAAAAATGTTCTTAAAAAATTTATGATTTTTTGGGTACTCAAAAATATTCTTAAAATCTTTTTAAAGTCCACAAATTATTTTTCAAAAAAATGTATTTTTAAGGTCCTCAAAAAATATCCGTTAAAAAAAATTGTTTAAAATGCAAGCCTTTTTAAGGTCCTCAAAAGTATTCTTTAACAAATCTAAACCTATTTAAGATCCTTGAGAAAAATATTCTTTAAAACTATAATCAATTTCACAATGCTGTAAAATATCTGTGTTCAGATTGAACATTGCTTCGATTAAATCCGAAAAAAAAACTGTCGGTATTCCCATTATTTTATTTTCCGAAAATTGTAACCATTACGACAAAAATTACATTTCCACAGAAATACCCCAACTAATAGCTATTTTCGCGGTAATTAGCTTTAATATCTCCCATATAATTCAAATTGCGTATTCAACACACACTCAGACACATACAAACAAATTCCCACTTTTATTACTTACCATCAAATTCCGCCTTAAATCCGCGATAGCCCTCGGCACGATGTGTATTGACATAGGTTAGCAACATGCGGCTAGAAACCGTTTTTAATATTTCACTGCTGACTTTGCCGCAAAAACGAGCTATTAAAGGTGATTGATGCCAGTAACCATCACGAATTTCCAAATAATCCGATTGGCAATTTTCCGATTTGAAAATATTCTATGGTGACATCGGGAGGAAGAATGCAGGGGAGAACAAAAAAAAATACAAATCAGAAGTTATACGGACAACATAACACTAATACTAATACGATTTTGCAAATGTTACAGTCATTGAACACTAAGCCAAAGGACACTGTCACACACACATACACTCACTCACACTTGGAAACACATTCAAGCGGAAATGCATTTCACATTAACGCACTTCGACAGTTTATGCATCAAATGGGACAAAATGCAATTGAGTCGGAGTGGTTGGTTGTATGTGTGTGTTGTTTGTGCATCTGTATCCAGGCGAGCATAATATAGTGTCAAAAACTACTCTCTAAAATGAAAATCAAGCCAAAATAACACCAACAAAAAAAGAACAGAAACACATACCAAATTCTCCAATTTCAAAACCACTCGTTCGCCATGTGTGGCCGTTATGCGCCACTCACAATGTTCCGTCTCGTTGGTCAGGGCACCGGCCGTGTGATACGAGGGACTGGCAAAGATGCCAGTGTTATCTTGAAATGTGCGACCGCATTTCGGACATTTATACAGCAAATTGGCCTGGGCAATATCACCGGCACTTAAACGCAACCGCTGACCGATTTCCGGCCGTTTGCGTCCCTTCACCTCGATGGGTAGGATGGTGTCCAAATATGTCCCCTTGGAGAAGGTATTGCGTGCGTAGTGCATAATCGAGTCGTAATCGTAGGCCATGCCCAAGGAGTCCACTTCGTCCGGTGTTAATTTATTGAAATTGTAATCCTGACCCTTCATGATGTTGTTGTGTTCGATGATAACATGTTTCTCGCGATCTGGTCGGGTGTGTTCATGCCAAAAGCCCACAACATGACCGAGTTCATGAACAACAATGCCAAATTTATCACAATTGCGGCCAATGGAGATGGCCTGTGGTCCGTTGCCACGTTTGCCAACGAAGGAGCAGCATCTATGGTACACAAAAGCAGAGAGACGAAAGAGAGAGAGAGGTGCGTTAAGAGAAGATATAAATTTGAAAATAATAATGATTATTGAATGGTTGCCCATTTAAATGGAGCGTAAACTTGATAACAATAACAGTGGTGGTCCAACACCACAATGACAACAACAACACCAACAGTACCACTTTGACTTGATTACAGCCCAGCCAGTACCAGTGTCAGTGCTGTGGTAAAACTAAAGTTGTCAATGATTTTGTTAAAACAACAAAAACAGCAGTGGCAACTTACCCACAACCTCGTATGGTGAACACAATATAGTTGGGATGCAATTCGGGTTCTCGTTCAACAAATTTAATACATGTGGAGTTCTCCCAGTGACGCATGGCCTGCTTGAACAGTGCCTTGTGCAGGCCACTGAAGTTGCCGTCGATTTCATAGGGTATTACACCATAATCCCAGACACGTTCCTTTTTGGCCGTTACAGCACGTGGTAGACGACGATGTTCACGCACAAAACTGAATTCACTGAAAATGTTGGAAGGAAAAAAACACAATTTTAGTGGGGAAGGTTAATAAAAATGTAACGAAAAAATCTTTATTGTAGTTGTAACTGAGATAGAGTATCAGTAAATTTCTTAAATTATTAAATTGCTAAAGGTAATGTGTAAATAAAGAAACCAGTAGTTGATTTGTTAACGTCACCATGGTGCGTATGATTTTTGTCAATACGTATACGCACACGTGTACTATATTTTAAAGAAAGAATCAACATTCAGTAAATTTTTCTAGGAAAGTTTACTTTCTTGGAACGGATGATCTACAAAAGCTAAAAAATTGTTGTATACTCGGAATAGTGTAAAGCTATGTTTGTGGTAAGATGTTGAACTTAGCCCTGGCGATAAATTTTTCCAAGGAGAGTCGTAAAAATTGGTTAATGGTAATGACTGAAAACCAAATATCAAGCATAACAAACGTATTTGACGCAGGAAATATGTTCAAAGTATAAACGAGGGCTATTTCTTACCTAATTATTCACATTGAAATCACTAAATCAAAAATGTTTTCATTATTTTTCAAAGTTTTCTCCAGCTCAATTTGAACACTTCTTCCTGTCATCAAGTCAATTATCGAAGCACTTCAATTCAAAATTAGGCACTTCGAAGAATAAGTTTTCAACAATTTCTGTCAAAAAGGTAAATTTAAGTCGCAAATTACTCAAGCGGACAAGTCGCCAAATGAACAGTGATACAAAGAAATCGGCACAATTTGCCACGAAGTGTATTTTGTGATTGACCGTCAAATTGCATGACAGAACAACCCGCCCAGATGTTCATTCAAAATGAAATATATTTTGGTGGTATAGTGCCACCGATACGCCCTGGCATTCTAATAACCTGTAGAGATCAGCATATGAAGTAGCGTCAGCTAGCGGAGATTAGCAACACTATATAAAAGGACCTCAACCCTAACCATTTCAAAATTACGTTATTTCTAGATCTGATCAAGCATTCACTTAGCTGGAATAAAAAACAGGGAAAGTAGCACAAGGACTAATCGGTGTAGATGTCGATGTTTGATGGAAGCCGATTTTCTCCTCCTAGGAGTATAGGGCTTCCGCAAAGCACCGCCATCTTACACGATTAGTCCTTGGGTTAGTTGCGGTAATCATTGTTTATTTTCCAGATAATTCGTATAATTATCGGGAAAATAAACAATTATTAGATGTAGTCGGTCCTAGGTTATGGGTATGTCATCTATCATTGTCTAGAATTATCTACTGATGCATGTCCTAGCTGACAGGGCTGCCATCTGTCATTGCCTAGAAATAACTCCTTTTTGCATTTTGTGCACTGGTTGGAGTCTTTGCTTATTTAGTGTTGTGATTTTCCTCTGGGTGGCGCTATCTCCTACCATTCCTATTCTGTGTAACTCTCACGTGTTGATGTCGATGTTGATAATTTGAATGTCAAAGGAATGAATGAATGTCAATTGGAAAGGGCTGTAAGTATGTTTTTCCAAAAATTGGAAAACGCTTCGAAAAAAATTATTCATCTTCAGCTGGGATTCGATCCCAAAAGCCCTCGGTTTTTATTTTGCAATACTATCCACTGAACAATTCAACCGATGCAAAAATTTATTATTCTTCAAATGTGGCAGACTTGCGACGATTTGTGTTTAAGAATGAATCCATGGAGCGTATTACTGCTGTCGATATGTATACGCGCCCTGTCGTATCATAAGAAGTAATTGTTGATTTAGGAGTGTAAATAGGAGCCATTTTTGGCTTATTTTCTGGCTGTCTGGCTATGTGACTATTATTGCAAAATAGCCTGGCGAAATCTTAGTTTGTTGTTTTTATAAAAAAATATTCATTAGTGGAGAAACTATGGCATTGTCCACCAAGGTACAAGGCATAGAAGACTATAGTTTCAGATCTCGGCATTGATTCTTATCAGTTCCTATAGTTTTTTGTTGGCATATTCCACCCAGAAGCTATTTTTAGCTTCATTACAAAAAACCTTTCATACCCAATTGTCCTTAGAAGTTCTCAGTGCTTTACTCCGTGGTCAACAAGGGAGTTGCAGACAAATGCTTACATATTACATAGCATTGAAAAAAATGGTATCCCAAATAACCCACCAACACTACTGAAATATTTCATATACTTACTCTTCTTCCTCCGCTTCATATGCTGGCACAATATTTGGTTTATGTTTTCGTTCCGCCTCCGCATCCATATCCAAGAATATATCACTTAATTTGGAATATCTCATATCATCATTGGCACTTTCAATTTCGGTGAAATTATTGGAATATTTCTTTATGGAATCATGTTCTTGACGATGATGTTTTTGTTCCGGCCTTGTTGTTTGGTGATGTTGATGGTTGTGATGGCGATGATGTTGCTTCTTTTCCTCACCCACTGGGCGAGTAAGTTCTTCCTTTAACTGTTGCATGCGTAGGTTATAATCTGATCTACCATTAGGATTACTGCGTCTAAAGTGGAAAAAGGTATTAAGGAAGGGATTATAAAAGAAAGAGAAATAACAGAAATCAAAAATTATAGGCGAAGATAAAGATATCCATTTAACAACTATTATTTCATTCTTCAATATTCTTCTTCTTTTTTTTCATATTTTTTATCTTACCTATTTTTCCGTCCTCTTCGATTTCTCCTCTTAATAATTGTACTGCTTCCCTTCAACTCTTGTATATCATCCAACTTCATACCATTACCTCCAGCATTACTATAAACATTGGGCAAAGTGGAACGTTGAGCCGGCAATGCTGTAGGCAGAATGACTATTTTTCGTTCCGAAACAAAATTATTACCCGTGTCCAATTCAATATCTTTGGTATTCGATTGTATTTTACGTTGATCGACATTACGATTACCCAAACCCACAGTGGATTTGTTGTATTTTTCTGCTTCAATTTGAGATTTGTCTTCCGATGTCAGAATGCTTTCGAATTTCTCAGCGGAAGTGTTAAAGGTTTTGTCCACTTTCTCCGGCAACACCTCTTCTTTACCAGCCAATACATTAAATTTATTTGGTATATTAATGGAATATTTCCTGGGTTCATGATCCTCGGAACTGATGACATCATTTTTATAATTTATGTTCTCATAGCTGGGATGGGTTTTGGGTTTCAGTAATTCATTTGCAAAGGACTGGAAAAAGATGTATTTTTTATTAAGGAATTGAAAATATTTCTTTCATTACATACCTCCACATTTTCATTATTCAAATCCGGTTTACTACTCGGCAATTTAGTCTTCCGCCTTATAATATCAGTCAACCCCTCTTCCTCCACCTGCAAACCCTCATTGTAGACTTCTTGTTTGAGTATTTCCATTTCCTTTTGAAATGTTTCGTTGTATTTGCCGGGAGCATCATTGACCGGTGCATCCGATTGCATGGGTTCTTCCCACATTTGTGTATAGGCCACCAGTGGATAGTCATCATCATATTGTAAATCGGGCAGGGCAATATCTCCCATAAAACCACCTGCAATACAAATATTTTAAATTGAAAAATAAAATGCAGATTATTGAAATATATTTTAAATGCATATCCACATCAAATACAGTTTCAAGTTTATATCAATATTCCCGCAGTAGCCAAATTACTATTTCGTGGCAATGTCTGTTATTAGTTAACAACAAACAATGGCCAACATTTTTCCAATTAAATATTGAATTTATTGAAAAATTACAATTGTTTAACATATTGTGGGTGGAATGAATATATATAAATGTGATATGTTATAATAAAGGGTAAATCTTTTTTGGAGTCCCAGAACTGTAATATTTTCTTAGCATATTGTTTGTAATATGGGTCTTAGTTATTTTATAAATAAGTAATCAGTGTACAGACCGTTTTTATAGACCAATTCGGCATATATGTTCGATGCTTTGGCCATCGTTCTAGAGGCCACAGACCTAAACCATTGATAACCTAGGCTTCAAAAAATTGGAATCACAGGAAGAAAATAATAACACAAAATAAACAAGGATCCCAACCACTGTGAAACATTCAAGGTGGCGTTGTTTCTACTCAACGTTAGATGGCAGCCCCATCACCTGGGACAGGCTAAACTAAACCAATTATATACTTAGGTGGAATAAAAGGATACAAAAATTAATGAAACTAACACAAAGACTAATCGAGTAAGATAGCGATACTTTGTATAAGACCTATGATTCCAGAAGTAGATGGAGTGACCTGATAAGGGAGAATCAATTGTTTATATTACATTATCCTCCAAAGGATCCCAACCACTGTAGAATTCAAGGTGGCGTTGTGTCTACTCAACGTCAGGTGGCAGCCCCATTACCTACAGAAGGTCTATGCTCCAAAGAGACCAAAAAGGTAGTACTCGAATTGTTCCAAATTTGTTACTCATTGGATATACAAAAAGGAGTGACCCATGTGCGAAATCTAAAAATGGCACAACAATGTGGCATTGGAAAGTCCACAAGATGTACTTTCAGAAAATGCATATTTCATAAAAATTCATAATGGATTTGGTTTATTTTGATGAATTTTTTAATCTATAATGGATTGAAATGACCTTTCCGGCCTTTGACTGTACTAATTCTATTTATTGCACAACGTGTCATTGAATTGTTATAAAAACGATTTTAAAATCGGTTATAGGTGTCTTTGATTATTGGCTAGTTAAAATCAATTTTATCTTCACGCACATCAAATATTTTTCGAACTGTGGCGGACGTACCCGAAGTAGTGGACCGTAATCCCCATCTTCGAGCATGATATAAGTTTGGAAAAAAATGTGACGATGTTAAAAGTTTGAATGAAATCAGTTACTATCTTCGGGTTACTATTTCGATGGAGCACATTTGTTCACATCAAGGTATATATTAGGTTGGGGAAAAAGGTCGTCGAAAATGTCCATAAACTCGGAGAAATGATCAAAGTTGACCGATATTTTAGCAGTCATAACATCTCCCAGGAGTTAAAATTGAACATAAAACTGTTTTTAACCATTTACACAAAGAAGCACTATGTTTGGGTGCCACACCAATTAACAGAAAAAATAGGATGGACCGAATTTCCATCTGCAAAGCATTGGCCAAACGGAATAAGATAGACCCATTTCTTAAACGGATGGTGACTGGAGATGAGAAATGGATCACTTACGATAACCCCGTGCGAAAACTATCATGGTCATAGAGCGGGGAAGCACCACAAACGGTGTCCAAACCAGGACTAACAGCCAGGAAGGTTCTGCTATGCATTTGGTGGAACTGGATGGGAATTATTTATCATGAGTTGCTTCCATATGTCCAAACGCTAACTTCTGATCTCTACTGCCAACAACTGGACCGTTCGAATATAGCAATTGACCAGAATTGGTCAACAGGAGAGGTGTCGTAGGCCACACACATCTACAGTGACTCGCTGGAAACTTCGGAAGTTTGGTTGGAATGTTTTAATGCATCCGCAATACATTCCGGACTTAGCACCAAGCTATTATCTTATTTTTCTTGCATTGCATTTCATTAAAGAAATTTTAATGATATAAAATGGGTATATAGGGAGGATTGTGAAAAACTACTATTAGGGTTTTTTTTTTTGTAAATATAGAGCAGTACTTCTATGAGAGAGGCTTTATGAAGTTACCTTTAAAAAAACATGCAACCAAACGGTGCATATTTGTCCCATATCGCACGAAACATGTCAAATAAATTCCGATAGTTCATATAAAAATAATGGATTTATTTTTCCCCAACCTTATATATCCTCATTAGCCATAAGGCTCAGGGAGTCGAGCCGGCTGGTGCGCGAAGTAACCGATTTCATCCAAACATTGCTCATCGCAATATTTCTTCTAAATTTAGTTCAAGTTAGATGCCGGAGAATGTCGGTCTATTCCTTCTGGTACCTACACCCCATATAGCAGTACCCACCATGTTTCGCTATTTTGGATATTTTTTTCCTTTTTTTTGGCAAATTTTATAATATTTTTTTATTTTGAATTCTTATTGCCAAAAACGATCCATATAGGTCCCACCCAATTTGCACTATTATAAGAGCATAAGACGTATTTTTTCCAATACAAGTCCATATTTAAACATAGTCCCACGTTTTGTTCTGTTTTTGAAGGTGTTAATGGAATTTTCTTATCGAAGTGGCCGCAATGTGATATTCCGCGTTCTAAAAGGCTGGGAAATCTTTACAGAAAATTATCTAGGTAGACAATTATTGTTTTGACATAACTTTCTCCCCATTTTCGGCATTTCTAAAGTTTTAGCAAAAATTAACATTCCAGAATTCTGATGAAATTAATAATTCCTCCCTATTCAACGGTTCTGCTTAATTTTCGCTATGTTGAAATTATTAGCCCAGTTTTTTAACCTGATTCGGAGCAAAGACACCATATAAAGGTCCCGACCAATTTAAGGAATTTTAAATTTACCAAAAAAATAAACAAGTATATATTTATAGAAATATACAAATATATTCTAGTTGGTCTAGATACGAAAAAAAATACTTCTGTCCCCAGACCATTTTTATCTCACCTAATCCCTTATTTAATTCCCATAATGAATATCATATACAATATCTATTTTGAAGAATAGTTAATTGTTTGATTTATTATCACAACAATGATAAGCAACTTATTGAATTAATTCCTATGGCACAACTGGACTCTCTCCGTCTCTAAGGGCAATGGAATTCTTTATTATTATAATATTACCAAGCAGTTTTATTTTTCTAATCCAATTAGTTTTAATACATCATTAAGAATATGCTTGAGACATACATGCCGATGACAGTCCTTTTGTTGTGAATATCTCTCATACATCTCTGAGAATTACCCTATCTTAAGGACTGACTGATAGTGAATTGCAAACAATAACAGCAGCAAAAAATGCTATCAAAGCCATTATTGTTACATAAAATTAACTGATAATTATATTTATTTAACAATATAAATAAGCCAAAACATGTCTGGAGGATATACGAGGGGCTGCTATAAAAATTCATAGACAGAACATACAAATATATTTTAATATAATAACTAAAAGGTGAATTGGGTTAGGTCAATGACCAATGAAAATAGGCATTCTGCTCGAACTTTTCAAAATATTTTCTAATCAAAATCTTGAACTATTTTGATAAATTTTGAAAATTTCCTTAAATACAAAAATCTTTTATTTTTTCTTTTCCAAAAAACTTTCCCAATTCCCCTCTCATCCTCATTGATAATTTTGTGTACACAAAAGTTGTTGATTGTTTCTGTGAATGGTTCACATGTGCGTCCTAGTAATCCATAAATTAATTGTTACCAGGCTATGAAGAAGAAAAATTCAATTAAAACACACACACACACGCACTCACACAAATAAATGAACATTCACAGACACGCTCGCTCACTCACACAATAACAATAAATCATTAATGAAAATAATATTAACCATTCACAGCCACCACAAATGTGGTTCGTTACGGTGGCATCATCGCCTAGCCACATCTGATCGACCAGCTTGACCGTCAGACCGACCGACCGACCAACAAAACGGAAAATGAAATGTTGATGGCATTTTATTTCAAGTCATTGAAATATGATTTCGAAATACAATTGCGAAAAAAGACTTATCAATGGAATAGTCTCAGATGCAGAGATAGATTACATGGTTGTTGCTTTTTGTCGTTGTTGTTGTTTCGTTTTCAATTAGAAACTTAATCAAATACAATTAATTTGTAAATAAATTGACATGGAATATATTAAACGTTTTTGGTATGTTCAATTAATTTTGGGTAGGTGTATTAAGTTAAGGGAATATAAGTAAAAAAATAAAAAATATATATATTTGTCTGTCACATACATGGATATAAATATTTTTTTCAAGGACAATCATAAGCCTGGATTTGTTAAAGAAACATTTTCAAGGACTATCACAGTCGATGATTTTTTAAACATATTTTTTCAAGGACTATCACAGTCGAGGATTTTTTAAAGATATTTTTCAAAGACTATCACAGGCGTGGATTCGTTAAAGATATTTTTTCAAGGACTATCACAGGCGTGGATTCGTTGAAGACATTTTTTCAAAGACTATCACAGTCGAGGATTTTTTAAAGATATTTTTCTAGGACTATCACAGGCGTGGATTCGTTAAAGATATTTTTAAAGACTATCACAGTCGAGGATTTTTTAAATATATTTTTAAGGGACTATCACAGGCTTGGATTCGTTAAAGACATTTTTTCAAGGACTATCACAGTCGAGGATTTTTTAAAGATATTTTTCAAGGACTATCACAGTCGAAGATTTTTTAAAGATATTTTTTCAAAAACTATCACAGTCGAGGATTTTTTAAAGATATTTTTTCAAGGACTATCACGGGCGTGGAATAAAATGATATCCCAAATAAAAACTCCCAATAGTCCTATAATTAATACTTTTTATCATTCATTCTTTCCATGACATTTTAAATATTCATGGGACCCACACAATTGAACTCATTAAATTGGTT